TTTGTGGGAGGGGGGGGGGGTGGTACGCGACTGGGGATGGGGAGTAATTTTTGGAGGGGCGTGCGCTCCCCCTAGATACGCCACTGTTATTCTACATTTTTGTGAATTCATTTTGGTTAAATTTATTGAAGCTAGCATCAAGCTATCCTCATTCAGTATCTGTATGTCATTGTGCAACTTATGGTGGAGTAATTGTTATCAACGGGTTCGAAAGATGGTGTGAGTTTGTACTTGCACTTCAGCCTCCAGGTAAGGAGAGCAACGGATGAAATAGAAACCGGGTACTAAAGGATCTCCAGTGCGCACACACAGTGACTACCACCAGTTTTCCCTACTGAGCTATTCTCCATACTATAAATTTAATACATAAATATTACTTATCAATGAACATTTATTTGTCTGTCAACATGTTTTATATAAGTGAAGTCACTTGATTTTACGATCGTGACAACGTAGGCCTATTTAACTACATCACGTGATGTAAAAGTAAAGGTGACGTCACTTGAGAGGTATTAATCTTTCAACATTATGGCCTATAGAGGTGACGTCACTTAGGTACGGTATTATTCCGTCAATATAGACCAATAGAGATGACATCATGCGATGGTTATCTGCAACGTAGCTCTAGCGGTTAGCATCAATGAATGTGCCCGTCTCAGAACACAAAGATGGTACTGTACTGATATTCTATGCTAGAACATAAATTTGCATGTGGACTGCAATAAAATTCGTACTCTGTGTAGGAAACAAATCAAACTACAAATAACAACAATCTATATACAAAACATCTTTATTGAAACAGCAGGGTCGTGTGATCAAAGTTACAAAAAAAACCTTCAATATAGAAATATGACCTTTTTAATAATACCAATGCAGCCACAAAACAGCCTAGAAGTTTCAACACGGAAGATCTATTACCACGATTGCCCCAATATCTAATATCCGCTCCACTAATTCGTATCACAATAACATACCATCCTAAAAATTCAGAAGTATATAACATGTTTTGTCTAAGCATCATTCACCTGAAATATATCAACCAACGTTACTTCTGGTAAACTAAGATTGTCATTAAGGATTTTTTTGTTTAAATTGTCTTGACAGTTGTTCATTTGCACGCCTAATTCACATTTGTATAATTACCAATTTTGGATTACTAAGCAAGTTTTATCACTTCACTGCTCATATTGCAGAGATTATAAAGATTATGGGAATGGAAGGACCCTTCTTGAAATTTTACAAATGGTGTTAGGCATTGTTTCGAAGCATAGCATACCCACTAAATAAGAAAAATTAAAATACAGTAACAAGATTTTAGAAACTTAAAGACATGTCAATAATTTGTACAGGTGAATGGTGTATAGATTTATTCATTCCAGTTTTTTTTTTCGCTGGTAAATAAATGCAATCATAAATTGTATTAAGATTAGTAGCCTATGGTACTTATGACTTGTTAGTTACATTGTAATATTCACTAAGCGACTGATAGAGGCACTGGTGTATTACAGTACTGTGGAAATACTCAGATGAGAAGGGGTTAACGTGGGTTACAATGTTCATTATCACAATACACAGACCTGGAGTAAAACAACAAGACCAACATGGAACCAAACAGTGAACTCCTAAATGCCAACCCTTCTATCAAGTTGGTAACAGTTAGGTGGAAAGCCAAGACTTCTTATCATGTCAACAGTTACAGGAGAGCTAAGACCCTTACACTTTCATAACTGAACCACTCTAGGTAACAGCTAGGTAGAAAACTAACACTCCTTAAACATTCATAGCAAGTAGTAAACAGTTATATGAAAAGCTAAGGCCTTTTATTGATAACACTTTCATAACATGTGGACAACACAGTTACATTCTAAGGCCCCTTAAAACCTTCATAACCTTACCAGTACGTAATATTCATAAACGAAAGAACAATTCAGAACTTTTGTTAACAACATTTAACTTTTCAAATGTAATAGGTTCAATATTTAAGATTCTTCATAATCTGCAGTAGCCAATCAGAAGCTATTTCGATGATAAAATAACACAAGAATTCACATGTTAGTATTTCATTGTAAACCTTCATATATTTTACTTTCTGAAGTATGTTAATTCTTGGTGACATATAGCCTGTGAATCTTTGATTCTATTTCACATCATGTAGTTTGGTTCACGGAAAAATGATTTTTTAATAATAATCCATTATGAAAAATATTGAGTGGACAGAAATGATTTTAACTACAATATTATGACATTATTGAACAGACAGGGCTATGAATAGAAAAGCCTCAAGCAAATTTAACTTATAAAAAAAAATTAGACAAGACATAGCGAGTAAAACATAAAAATCACTTACACAACAAGAAACAGCAGAAGAAAAAAACTAAGAAATGAAGTGAATTATTGAAGAAAGGACCATTTGATGTGCGTGTTGTCGTTTCCAGAGTAAATTACACAAATCAGCTGCGGGATTTGTTTGCCTAGATGGTGCAGTTTATCCAGGTAAGTACTCACGAAATAGTAAATGTTATTAGATAGGTATCTAAACAAAACACAAACATTATAAGAACCTTATCGAAGAAAACTCAACATTACAACCGTTGTCAATGTTATTAAATTGTTATGCAGTAAGCCAAACTTAAAACCTACACATAAGAAAAATATAATATGAACACTTTTAAGAATCCCATTTCCAAGTCATTTGACATGCATGATTATGTATGAGTGTATTTGACCCGAACTCCCGTTATCTTACTTCCATAATCTTCCCTTCATGAGCATTATAAATTGATAAACCTAATCCCAGTATCAAATATTGTACTGTATATTATCATTATATCAGTAATAATTATGACAAGTGAAATATCAACCCAAATTTTAATATAATTCATTCTATATTCATCTGAAAGTTTTCTTTGTACAACTCCTTAACAATGCATTTCCAGGGATGAACTCAGCCATACCACTATTAATAATATCAAAATTGTATTAAGCATGATAATATCTTACAGGGCTAAAACATCTCTTTATGCTTTTCTTTAAATTGTAATTTTTTATTTCAACTGCAATAAAATATTTGACATGCTTTTTCTATAAATGATTGTCTTAACTGATTATGGAAGAAGCGATCTGTACCACCACAACCAGAGATTATAATGAATTGTATCATAAACTACCAACAATTATTCAAACAAATGATTTAAAATGAGAGCATTCTTCCAATTTAATTTATAAATCATTCAAAATTCTTTACGAACATGATTATTTAAGGCCTCGTTTGTGACACTTTTATTATCAGCTGCCAATGTGGGCTACCCTCTAAATTTCCTCTAAGTTATTTATACTGTTTCCCACATTTAATACATTTTATGGACAATCCATTTTTCTGTAAAATTTGTATTCAAATAATGTTTCACCTTAACACACACTGTAGCTGCATAATTATTTATGGAGCAAATAAAAATGTTTTTTTTTTTCTTTTTACTTTCTTTTTGTTAGTACAGTACAATTTATTTTTTAGGGATTTAAAAAATCTTTAAAAATGTTTCCAATTGAGTTATTACTATATGAGACTATAGCTACATTTTCATTCACTTGGTGCTAACTCTTTAAAGTTGAAATCAGCATTCAATGTTCCTTGTTAACTGGAAATGTTACAAATACTAGTTAAACACAGTGGTAATCCTAAAAGGAACATGTACCAAACCTATCTTATTAAAACGTTGTTATATTACCACCATAGCAAGAAGATGATGCAACTATGTGGTGGCATGTAGCAATCCTGTAGCAAACTAAATTGCATACTGTAAGCTATGAGGAGATTCAACCATAAGTGATGCTAGCATCATCATAACTTCTGGTAAAATCACAACTTGTGGTATGCCACAACCATTTCCTACCCTATATAGAAAGTATATATCATAGCCAATTGGAACACCATAAGGAGCAATGCTGCACTGCAGCAATACCTCGTAAGTTAGTGCATCTTGTGTTATGCCACAGATATATGTTACCACATCTAGAGCTCATGTACCATAACAAGGTGGAATACCACAAGGAGTAATGCTACACTGCAGCCATGTTGCATGAGATCTTACATCTTGTGGTATGCCACATATATATCACCACATCTAGAGCTCATGTACCATAGCAAGGTGGAATACCATAAGGAGTAATGCTACGCTGCAGCCATGCCTCATCATAAGATCCTACATCTTGTGTTATGCCACATATATATATGTTACCACATCTAGAGCTCATGTACCATAGCAAGGTGGAATACCACAAGGAGTAATTCTACACTGCAGCCAAGCCTCAAAAGATCCTACATCTTGTGGTATGCCACGTATATATGTCACCACATCTAGAGCTCATGTACCATAGCAAGGTGGCATACCATAAGGAGTAATGCTACACAGCAGCCTATGTGGTATGCCACATAAGATTGAACTTCCAGACCTCCTGATAATGCCAAAACCTAGTAGCAATAAACATAAGTGCGGTATACTTAAAAACAATGCAGCAAACTCGCAACTACTAAAGGAAAAAAAGTAAATATTTAAACACAAAGGCAAAAAATAATGTTCTTTCTGATCAATATAATGATTTTTTCTATTTAATAATGCTATTTACATACAACATATATTGATGACAATGCTTTCAGTAGAGACACTGTTCAATATATGGTGGCCGACACTGCTGAGTGGTGGCCATCTCTTGTGAATACAACCTTTGGTCATACTGCATCAATGGTACCACACCATTCTCCTCCTTAATCATGGGTGGTTGTGAGACGAGGCTGTTATGTCTGGTGTAGTGGCGCACGCCGTCAGGAAAAGCCATGATGAAAAGCGCTTCTGGATCGCAGACAAACTTGTAAACGTATCGTTCGCCAGCAACTTTCTGCATGATACCCTTTTCGTAGTAGTAGCGTAGTGATCGCGACAGTTTATCATAGTTCATTGCCGGCCTGTTCTTCTGTATTCCCCACCTTCTAGCTACCTGTAATAAAAATTCACACAACAAAATTTAGTAATAAGATGTATTTAAAGTACTTATTATTTCATTTTATTTTATAAACATAACTTTATAAAAATATCCTTTATAAAAAAAAGCAACATCACTAGAATAATATAAATAAATCACTGTTATTTTTCTTTTGTATTTGGTCATGACAATGTCTCTTACCTCTTCTGGGTCAATGAGCTTGAACTCGAGTCCACGGCCTGTCCATGTTATATAACCTGAATTGGCTGGATCTTCCAGCAGTGTGACTAGGAACTGCCACAGCTGCAACGAACCTCTCCGTTGATATGGAGGCCCATCACGAAATGGCTCTGTTTTAGTTTTTACTATAAAAAAAAAAAAATTTATATACAATATAAACTATTAAAAAACTCCTGTGATGAAATTGAATTTTTATAGTTACTGTATTAATATCACACAGAAAATTTGCTCATTTCCCAGCTAACAATTTAATACTCTTAATTTCTTGGCTTAACATGAACGAAATTAGATATTATAAAAATTTAATGTTATAACATTACAGTCTGGTATATAAAATGTTTTTTTGTAGAACCGTAAACATTAATGTAATTTCACTACATATTGTACTGTATTAATTCTGACATACCAAACATGAAATATTAGTGCAATGCTTTGTTGAACTGTATACTATACCACCAAACAATTATTGAAATGTAAGTAGGTTAAATATAACTTGATTTCAGTTAGACCTTATCTACTGCTGTATCTACTTCACAATATTTCAAAAAAATAGAAATGATAAAAATGATATGATGTGCATAAACAGGTGGAGCAGATGACAGAATGTTTGCAGTTCTTACCTGGTGCAAGTTTCTCAGGGACAGCAGCGTCATCAAAGCTTGACCTTGGGCTACAGTTTTCAAAACATGCTCCTATGGAAACAAACCACAAGATAAAAAAGAAATAGTAAGTCGAGGCTAAGATAGTGGAATGGTTGCAGAAATAACAGCAATTTTGCAATTGCAATTATTGCCTTAGCTGCCAATCGTACCAAGAGTCAAAGCTAACAGGATGATACATTGAATCTCCCCTTTTCATTTCTCTTTGTATCTTTATTACCACTTTTACATATATTGTCTGTGTCTATTCTTTTTTAAGCCTGTAAGTGGCGATATATTTTCGCAGTTGGTTTTTTTTCATTAAAAATTAACACAAGCCTATGCTAAGGTAAATCTTAAAGAGACTACATCATAGCTACTGTGGGTACTGAACAAACAATTGCACATTATATAGAGTACAGTGAGTCTTTGCTTTTGGTTGGTTTTGCTTTTTTTTTCTCTCTTTTTTTTTAAACAATTTAGTTAATATGCTGTTTCCAGGTTGCTTATATATGAACACACCCACACAAACACACACATATACATTTTATATGAACACCTTTCAGATTATTTATTACTATAAATGGCAAGCTTGATTATATAACAAGTCACTGTACATCTCTACAACCAGCACATAACACAACAAGAGTCAAAAGTAATTTTTTTATGCTGACATCATCAAATTTGCTGAAAGTTTGTAAAAAAGCAAACTTAAATTTCCAAAACAAAAAAAACTGTTGGTTATGAAATTTTGCTTACATGTAGTGTTGGTCATGTAATTATGCACTATTGCTTGAAAACAGTACTGGATAAAATATTAACGTAATACACAAGAACATTATTACCAGCCCTGACCCCTCCAAAACTCGAAATAATCTTGCGTTACATGGTAAAAATGGTACAGTGGATTATTGAATGTCTATTTTGATAAAATCCAAAAGCAGTTGTATAACGGCTGACCTCCCCAAATGATAATTGGACTCTAGTGAATGTACCAAAAATACAATAAATATTGCTTTAAATACGAAGGCATTGAAATTCCCTAACATTTTTACGGCAATTAGGAATTTTAAAAATATATATTTTGAACTCTCTTTAAAGGAAAATCCTTCATCCGTTTTGTTTGTTTCCTTATTTCTATTTACATCATTACAATTAGTGTAATATTTTACCAAAATGGCTGCATATCGGAACATTGGCCAAGGCAGAGGTCTGGCTTCTTATGAATGAATAATTCATAGTATACACATTCAATGTATAAATTCA